ACATGATGGAACTTGAAATATTTTTTTCTGTGTATAGCAAAAACTATCAGGACAATGTGTCTATGTACACATAATGATATGGATATGGATTTTGAAAGCCGTTCCTGCCTGCATTTATTGTTAAATGCTGTATACTTATTTAATCTGACACAATCAAATTTTAGTATATGATAATTTTTCTGGTTAATTAGTGCAGCGATAAAATTGCACAGCCAAACCATTTACCACATAATCAGCATAAGGAATCTGCAATTACCACTTAAATAGAATTACTGCTTAAATGTGAAAATGGTAAAAGTATTTCTTCTAATATTCTTCATTAAATGCAAATTTACCTTAGAAAGTAGGAGGTGTCTCCACACATTTCTAAAGAAACGCCTGTTAAATCAATGGGTCTGCAACTGTAATAAAATCACGTCAATTATAATCCTTCTTAGATTTTACTTAGTTCAATGTTTCTTTTCAGATGTTCGGCATCCTTTTTAAGATTTTGAAAATGTTCAACGATCAGATAATAAATAACAATATACTTTGTTGCTGTACATAAAACGTTAAAACAATATTACTTTTATCCTAACATTTATTTGATTACAAAATGAAAACAAAAAGAAACAACATATTTGATTTGGTTTTACTTGACAACCTATAAATAAATCAAAATGATTATAAAAATTTAAATTCCTTATTGGAAATCAAATGCATAAAACTAGAAGTTTTTCCAATTAAACACCTGTACATATGTGATTATTTCTAACATACCTCAAAACATCTATGTTATATGCTTTACATAAACTGAACAAACCATTTACAAACCTAAAATCAGATTCACATAAATTCTCAAATATTTTCATGTTAAACTCCACTTGTACCTAAATGCAGAAACAAAAAAACATTTGTTAATCGAAAGAATTCAATCATATATTTCTGATTATGATCTTTCTTGTTTTTGTTTTAATCATATGCTTATCATCATTGGTTTTATAAAGAGGAAAACAAGAATGATTTAAACAGTTCACACAATCTTCAGATGAGAAGTGCTGTTAAATATGAAGTTGTGTCTTTGTTATTTACCTTTGGGTTGAATATCTTGAATAACCAAAGATACCTGTACATTTTCTGACATTCAAGCATCATCCTGTGTTTTGGATTGAGTATCTGTAATGTAATGAACAGAAACAGGAAATATCTGTGACAACAATTTAAATTGTCATTAAACATTTTCATCCGGCAATAAGCCAGGGCATAGAAATAAGCTTGCCATATTTATATATGTATATTGCAGTTCAATAGAATTATTAAAAAATTGTTTTTACATCATTGAGTAATAAGCCCATCCCCCGTCTTTGTGTCAGAGGTAATGTGTTAAACCCCTGGGCTTATTGTCCTGTAATTATAGATAATAATATATACTGACGTTGGTTGTTGATTCTGAACATTGTATAAGGTCAAGGAAGAAATCGAACATCAATGATAATTATTATTGTAATATTTTCACCTGGTGTTGTATACAGTGAGTGGTTCTCAGTGGTTTGTGTAATGAGCTAGTGTAACCTGACCATCTGATTTATAAATTGACTTACACGAAGATGTAGAGTGACTCCCCTTGTCTTTTTTGACGATTTTGTGGATGTGCTGATGCATTGGAGGATAAGTTGAGACTGATCTTCACTATGTTGGACCTGGAAACTTTGCTGTGTGATCACACCAGGGGACATGATGTACTGGATACTCAAATGACTCTCATCCTCAGTGACCTGCATGGCACTCAGAACACAGAGCAATGCACTATCTTGTGTCTGTGTCACTGGTGTTTAGAAAATCAAGGTGAACAATTTATTGTGTTGACAGATAAACCAACAGATGACTTCAGTAGGAGGCTTGTACATCAGTGTATACTGAGCTTCATCAAGATTTTGTATTGCTTTACCTCATAAAGGTAATTGCCATTGTTGATACAATTTAGAATATTATCATATTCACTGCACAATCAATTATACGATATTTATTTTTTCTTGTATGGGAAGAAAATAAACAAATGGTTAAATTTGCCTTTTAGTGTCAAAGTCAGAATACTTTATGCCAAGTCATATTTTTGCCATTGAAGAGCAAGAAGTAAAAGTATATTATGCAGCTGTTTCTTGATTAAAATGTGTTATTTCAATATTCACCTTGCAATCTTATAGCAAAAATTGTGAAATTAAACATATACGAAAATATCCTACATATAAGCAGCACAGACTTAGATATATCCAAGACCAAGAGTGATCATGGTAATATAATTCAACTCGCCTGTCACCTGTAGGAGTGAATGATACCAGAAACATATAAAACAGATTATGTTATACTCACAGTAAGGCAGGAATTCTTCTGGACTGGTTAAACTGGAGTGTACTAAAAATAGAAACAATTTTGTTTTCTGTAAATTATTTTATTTTGCAAAGTACTTTTCAGAGCACCTAGGATTAAATAAAATTTATACTGTCAGTAACATATATAGTGTTTTGAAACCTTGTGATAAACTGACTCAGAAAAAATGATTTTATTCATACATTCTTTCGATCACAAGTAGTTTACTAAAGAATCTTGATCAAGTTAGGTGTTCTAAACATCATGACTGACTACTCAAAACCAATATAAAAACTACAGGTGCAGAAGGGTCACCAATGAGTATAATTAATATTTGTTTAAAACTACAATCACCAACATTTTAAATGAAATAAACATTTTTCATTTTCCTCCTCAATTCCAACGGTTTTGATATGTAGTTTCAGACTACTGTAGGTGGTATCCATTTCTTTGTCTGAGGCAAAATGCAACATTTCAATTATCTGAAATATAAAAGGAAAAACATTAACACTATTACCAAATGATAAAGTATAAAGTTCTTACAGTTATTTTACATGAGAGGGCAAATACAACTGAACATGATTTGTCACCAACAGTCCAAAGCTTATTTTTTGGTTTGTTTTGTTTTTTATCCAGCATTTTCAAACTGATTTTTAAAACGTTTATCTGTTCCGGAAGTGTACAGCATGCATTTGACCTTTATATTGACACATTTCTTAGCTACTCGTTAGATAGAAGTGCATTTCGTTATCCATTACTATTCGGAATTTGCGCAGAATTATATAAAAGATAAAATTATGACACAATGTACTATACTCTATACAAAGAAACCACGTATGTGCTACATAGCTCCTGCTTTGTTATACTTGATATGGAGTGGTAGAGAGCATTTATACATAATTTGAAAAGTCATTTGTCATTAAATTTCGTATTATCCTACCTCTTGCACAGCTCTGTGAATGTCTAGGTCTGCATTGGCAGTCATTGCTAAAGGTTGTAAACTAGATATAAAATTTGTAAAAAGACCTCTATTTTTGATTTCTTTGTTCTAATACAGTATGTATACATGCATTAAATCGTAAAGTATGAATAATGCTAGTTTTATAAATAAACATTTTGTGATAAACTCATACTTCCATCCTGACCAACTTTATAAACACACTAGCAGCGCGCAAACGTTTGAGTGTCTCGTACAACTTAAGCTTATTGATGATCAAGATTATTCAAAACAAATGGCTGCCCCCATGACTTGAACGAAGCGGGATAAACATTCATTTTGCTTTGAGGAAAATTCTTACTTTTGAGAAATATCTATTGTTTTATCAAAATGGCCCACGCGCAGTCTTTCATTTCGTGGTTGAATATGACATTGTCAAAGGCAAGATTTCTTTTGTTAATTTGTTGATACCGAATTAGTTTAATATCGACTGTGTTGTCTGATGGTCTTTCGTTGAATGGTCAATGGCTATTTTCGTCTCTATGTAATTCTTAAAGAAGTAATATCGATTATTAATCAGATAATTATGTGTATTTCATCATACGTTTGGGCTCCTAGGTGTTTGATATGTTATGATTACTATCATGTTGGGCACAACCCTGCATTTGGAGAATACTACTTGAGTAAGTTTTCTCAAATGTTGGATCATTTGAACAAAAGAACTCCTTTACAACAAAAAAAGCGTCGTTTTTATAACTAGACCAAATAATCTATATAATGTTGTATGTATCAGCATTAGAAATATTAATTTCTGTTCTCTATCTTCGTGCTAAACTGGCAGTTTATTTCGCCGACTTAATCCTCCATTGACTAGTGTTTAGCCGTTGAGAGCCTTTATTGCAAATGTCATAGGTGAGCGTGAGTTTACCTGTGTTCTATATTTAACCACACTATAAGCAATTGAGGTGATATAGTTTGACTTTTATGAAAAGCGAAACAACTTGTCAAGAATATGACACTTTTGTTGTAAACGCTTCTAAAAACTTTTATGAGTTTCTATTTCAAATGATCCTACATTTGATCAACTGATTACTACTATTATTCAATTGTAGGACTATTACTCATATGCAGAGTTGTGCCTATTCTGTTTATTCCAACTATCATATAGCTTACATTTTATTTTTGTTGGCAGTAGCTTCATCTGTCAATACATCCAAATTATCAATAATGAAAAGATGAATTAAGTCTATATGATTAATAACTGTTGTTTGTACAAATGATTTATTCTTACCAGATGTTTTGAAATATATTTAACACCCTCCTCTTAAGGAGAAGAATGAATGCATGTCATCAGTCAAAAGAAAACATACCTCTAGTTGATTGTTATATTTATACAGGACCAGGCTCCTGCAAAGTTCATGTGTTACACTGGCAGCTTATACACAAACAGAATTATGTGTTTTTGACTTTGACAATAGAGTCAATTACTGAAGGGAAACAAATCTTTTTACGTTACGTGAAGCTATTTTGCATAAAACCTTTATCTATTTGACATTCATTATGATTGTTAACTTTTTCCCCCACCATTTGGTATGACGAGCCATCCTGTGTATAAATCAGATCTTATTGGCTTTAGTTGTAGTTCCACTAGATAGCATGTACAAGAGAGTTATAATCCAATTAAGATCCATCAGCATTGCAGAATATAATTAAAACAATGGGAAACTCTGCTGAACTACAGATCTGCTATGAGGACAAACTGGAGATCTTGAATTTAATAGAAATGATGTTCACAAAAATGCAATGTGCAACTGCTAATTTGATCAGAAAACCTGTTGTTGTTTGTTTTATGTTGTGTTTGTAAAGGACAAACAAACCAGGAAAACATCCTTATATGAATTGGTTTTTCTAACTGAAAGCTTCTTACACTTTAAATCAGGCCATAGACCTTCAGCCAGATATAGGTAGTTGGGTCAGTTCTAGTTGGAGTTCAAATATGGAAATTGTAAGGTAATGAATTATTAATAACAATTTTCAGATATTTTCAACAAGAGAAGAAAGAAATTTTTTGGATGAAGATATGCTTAAGGTTGATGATATAGAGGCATCAAAACTACTTGAACTGCTGGGACTTCTCATCACCAACCTCCAGGTATTACAAAAATATGTATATCTTTGTCCCCTTATAATGTGATGTGATGAGAAAAGGTTATATTTGCCTGGTAATAAGAATTTTCATAAACGAAACTTGAACATCCCCCACACCCCCTTCCAATTGAAATAAATGATTCACAAACTGAGTATATTGATTTCCAGTTAATCCATTTTGAAGTTGACACAAGTTTTCCAAACTGAAAGTTCTTGCTTTGGTTGATTCTCAGTTCTGAAGATCAAATGTTAAGGTCTTTGTTTCTAAGAACAGAATTTCAGCTGAAACCTTTTATGGAAGAAACTATTGCTTATTTTGTTGAAAGGAACCTTGGGCGAAGAACGTAATTTACACTTGTTCCAATAAGTAAAACAAATTGCTGCATGTCGTTTTTCAAAAGGGATCTGCTGAAAGAACATACCAATAAAAGTGTGTTTTTCAAGCTTATTTTGATATTGTATTCTTATAAGAACATTTCTATACATTTCATTATTGATTAATAAAAGACCAGGATATTTTGTTTTTGGTGAAAGTAAACCAAACAAAGAAATCCCAAAAAACCAAAACTAAAAAAAAAAAAATATATATATATATATATATATATATATATATATAGATCTGTATTTGTATTGCAGGTATATCAAGAAAACTTGAAGGAATCTTTGGAAGAAAGTCAGATTGATGTTGAAACAGTTGATGGTAACAGTGTTGATACAGGGATGGATATATCTGGGAAGGATACTGTTAGCATTACTAAAACAGATATTGGTGAACAAATGCAGACTGAACTAGCAAGTGTCTGTCAGGATGCCAGTGTTCAGACAGAAGATATACTTTCTAACTTAACTGAAAGTTTGTGTAAAAATGAAAATTCTGAGAACATAGGGATTTTTCCAGGAACTAGTAGCAGTAGTTTTCCAGTATGTAATGGTAAGTGTTCTTGTTTCCTTGACCAGTAAAATGTTGTTAATTCTTGTTGATTACATATGAGCTGAAGGGGTTGGATTGGAAAATGTGAACTTTGTCCTCAGTAGACAGACTGGTTTGGGTAGTAAAACAATCAGATTAGTGGTTGCTGCATAAAACTTGATATGAGAGATATGTAAAAAATGCTTTTAACTGTTGAAAATTTAATATTTGAGAGAGAAAAAAAAAGAGGAAAAATCAAAATTTTTCCAGGAAAATAAATATTTCAGTTTCCTCTTTTAATTTCAATATGCATCAAATGAAATTTTAAAAAGCTTTAAATATATATATATATATATTATCTCTTCCTTACATATGCATATATCTTATTATTACCACAGATATTTTTGTAAAGGATTGTTTAAATGTATGTGGCTGTGTGAAAAAGTCATCTGATGAGGATTTTTTATTAAGAAGCAGGTGATGTTATAAACAGGGGAGATAACTGCAGAGAGCTAGAAGAAAACCTGGTGCAGATACGAGCATCAAAGTGTGAGGTAAATCATTTTAGTTCCATATATACTTTAAGGGCAGACATATCGATGAATTACGTCATTGCAGATTATGTTGCTAGAGTGTGTCAAACAACACAGAGCAAAATCATTTGATTTAAATTAAAAACCTTCATCATGTATATGTGTAAGGAGGCCAAGATCAGGTGGTAGAGTGGTGGCCTATCCACCTCCAGGTGAAGATCTGTGGTACGTAGATCAATGCTCACTATATGTCAACAGTTTGTTTTTCTCATGATGGTTAGAAATGGACTGGTCTGTGCTGTTGTGGTTTTTTCCTTGACCTAGATACTTTACTCAAATTGCTCTGTAAGGCATGCAACAGACATCTTTTATGTTGAACAAGTGAAGTGGTCACCAACTGTGATAAGGAGACCAATGCTGTTTACAGGACAATAAACACAGCAATCAAATAAACAAAGTGTACATATGTAGGTACTGTATGACAGACATGGAAATTCTAACTGTGAACTCCTGATATCCTTAATAAAAATTCTGAGTAATTTTGACTCAAGATTTTTCTTCCATATTTATTAGGGTGTTTGGTTAATGTTTTGAGTAGGATAAACATACCATAGTAGTTTTTCTTGAAAAAATGCAAAGTAACATAATGCGTTTTTTTTTAAACTTAAGATGCTATAATAACAGTATATGATCAAAATCAGTGGAATATAATAATGACTGTATATTATTTTGAAAAATGTTTTTTTAAAGGACATTTGATAAATAAATAAATGAGTGTCTTAATCTGGACATGTGGGATACTCCACACAGAGCTGAAGTGATTTTGTCTCCACCAGAATTTTTCGCTGTTCAGTTTTACAGAAAAATGTCAATTTTATTTTCACTTTAAATTATGGCGGCAAAGGCGTTCCCTTTTTTCAGATTGATAGAAGAATTGCAGCATTTGTAGAAAAAAAACAATTGGAGGTTAATGAATTGAACAGACGTGAGTTCTGCAGTGCACAGGGCCCAGAAGGTTTGTTTTAATCATTTCTATAATCAGTCATTACAATAATCGGTATGTTATCAAATGATATGCATGCTTCAAAATATACATTGTTTTTTAAAACAATTTACTACAATTTTGTATAATTAATTCTTAGACCTGATAGATATTGAAGAAGCTGATACAGGTAAAAGCTCTCTTTGTATTATTGTAGTTATAAATTTCATTTTTTGTTTCAAATATGTTTCAAATAATCAGGTAAACAGATTCGGAACACCACTAACATATAACCCATCCTAAATTGTTCTCTTTGACAGAGGCAGAAAACAGCTGTGCTCGTGTTGACTCCTTATTTTTCACAAGAGCGGATGGGAAAAGTCACATCAAAGGTAAGATTTACTCTGCTGTCTGTTAGATCATAATGCTAGTACAGTATTATTTCTCTGACATGATAGTTTAACCACATTTCTTTGTACGTGTAATTCCTTTGGATTTCTTGAATACTCTATCTTGATGCGCTATTTGATCCAAGATTATTAAAGACAATTATTCATTTAAAGGCACAAACCATTATAGGAACAAGTCACTTGGTATTTTTCTGTTGCATTGAAGTGAGTCGGGTGGTGAACTTACAAGGTCCACAAACCCAGATCCCAGTCCAGACAGAGGGCACCGCAGAGCCAAAGGAAGTTGTACAGAAAAACAAGCTTCCCGAAGGGATGGAGGAACGGCTCGCAAACATGGAGAATCATCTCAACGTCAACAAAGGTACATCACAAATCCTTAATGTCCCAAGTGTCCAATTATATTGAAATCAAAGAAACATAGTTTCTTAATGAAGTTATTTGCTTCCCTACAGGAACCTTTAGATAATGACTACAAATGGTAAGTTGAAAGAGCATTATTGACAATCTGTTTTAAAGATATACAAAGAAATTATGTGAATATTATCATAATCCAGATTCAAATTCAATAAAACTAGGGCAAAATTTGAACAAAAAGAATTATTTACACACAAATTCCAGGAAAATAAGAATATAAGGGCTTGTGTTCCTGAAGAGCAAGTGTGTTCTGCTTCACTGACAAAGCCAGCCAGGTAAATCTTTGTCAATCCAAGTTAGTAATTTCATGTTCTCAAGTGAGAACAAGGTATACAACAACGGAACCAACAGGCAAATTAATGAACACCAAACATGCCCAGCTTCATATCGCACCAAGAAATAGAAGATTTCTAAATGAGATCACTATGATCACCATGTAATTTCCATATAATTTATATCAACCTACATTTTTGAAACCCTGTGTTAATCAACTCTGGACAGTGTTATCTTGTTATAGTTTTGCGGAGATCTGCAAAAAACATTACAGTTCTAAGACTTTTCTATTGATGTCTGTTCTTTATATATTCCTCAGATCTACTTCAAATAAGCATGCATAAGCTTCCAGTGCCAGCAATATGTTTGTGGCTAAGGAAAAGTAAATTTAATAAATACTAGTATGTATAGTACAGTAGTGCGGGAACAAGTAACCAAACTTTCGTTGCAGCTATCCAGATTTATTATCAGCTATCAGTAATTTTAAGGAGAAGTCCATTAAGTCATGCTGCCATACATCATATGTAAACAAAAAAGTGCTGATTTGAAAAAGCCTGAAAACTGTTTTGTTAACAGTGAAATGTTTCAAGATTTATCATGATAGCAAGACCATTATAAAATTATCTGTTGCTGAAAATACTATACCTTTGATATTTTCATGTGTATTGAATTTGAATGTATCAATGTTCATCAAACAAATGTTGTTTGTGCAGTATTTTCCTTGTTTCTATCATAACCTCCACCTGAAAACTAGAAACCTTGATTGGACATCAACTAGGTGTAACTCTACACGTGCTATTTTTAAGTACCATCATTATCAATTATACAGGTCAGATGTGTGATGCCTTTACCTACTGATAATTGTTGCTGCAGCTTTCTTCATTAAACATGGTCAAAATAAAAACACATTAGCACTATTTGTGTTAGAGGTGTATTTCCCAATTGTCTTTGTGCTTTTTCCCCGTTGTCAAAACTTCTTAATTAATTTTGATATGTAGTGCAAGTGTTAAGTTATAAGTAAGCAGCTGATTATTATGTTTCAGGTAAGATGGCTTGCAGTGATGTGTACACCAGACTAAAATACCTAGAAGAGCGCATCTTGTTTTTGGAGAGCTTGTCTCCGGAATATTTTACATTTCAGGTCAGTATTTACCAGTACTCATAAAGATTTAGACTAAAATTTTTAATTTTTGGATGAAACTTTTCTAAATACAATTTTTTTTTCTTTTTTACTGAAGTAGCAGTTTTAACATTATGACAATGTTTGTGAATAACAGTGTAGTGACTAAAACAGTTGCCTTTTTGTTATTAACTGACAGCCTCCACATCACAAACGACCAAGAAAAGAGAAACAAGATACCATTTACAGGGCACCTGAGGAAGAGGTAAATTGTACAGAAGCTGTTACAAACCCCAGAAATGGTGTTAATACTCAAATCTGATGTAATTAAATGTCAAAGATTTTGTAATATCATAATGAGTATATGTGTGTACTGGTTTCTGCATAATTCACAGTGCATTGTGAAACATTTCCTTTATCAAGAGACATTTCGTATGCAGAGTGAATGACCCTCGTCTCTTAACAAATGACAACTCCTTATACACACAAATGACTTATATCTAGCCTCTTTTTCACTAATCAAAAGATTAATACTTACATGTTGGTATTTATTTCTCATGTTTATCATAGTTTTTTTTTCTGCTTTACAGGGTATGAGTGTATCAGAAATTGACATGAAGATCAAACAGCTGAAGGAGTCACTGTCAAAGAAAGCATCCTCAAAAGCACAGACTTCATTATCCAATACATAATAAACATTTTCAAATTTACCTACATTTGTCTGTATTTATGGGCAGTCATAAAGCGAAGCTGGATAGCATTATTCTGAGCAGTTTACAACAATCACTCCAAAATACAGGATAAAAACGAGAGTTTAAGATCAGAGAATATTTTGAAATGACCTTTTCGAATATTATGACCAAAGTACAAAGGACAGTATATGATTTTGACTTTTCTTTGCCTCAAAATGTATTTACATTCAAATTTCTAATTCAAACATTTAATTTTAATTTTTTCCGATACTAGTTGGTTATCATTACTGGGTATTTTAACATTAGATTGTCAAAAAGAAAAGACAAGCCCAATTGCCATTACAAACATATTACTGTTGGACATACTTTACTGTATCCACTAGCGTGAAATGTTCAAAGTTGTTTACATTTCTTGTCTGTTATGCTGAAAATACTTAAATAACAACAGAGAGAATGAATGACAAAACACATCAACTTGATAACATTAAATATTTATTATAGTCACACAGTAAATTTCTGAATTTCAAGTTGTTACGTTTCAAACTTTTATTTAAGTAGAGAGTACTAATAATTCACTTTTAAATCTTGAGCATTAATATCATGTGGAAAGAGAACGAACACTGGGTATCAGATGTATATGTTGGCACAATCTTGTATTGAATGAAAATTTAAAAAGTCAAACTAACTTATACTAAATCATTTTCAACTCTTGTTTTTCCCAAAGTCACAAGATGCTATAAGTGCAAAGTTATAACCAGAATCTTTATTTCCCATAGGAAGCTTGATGGAAGGAAATTAGGAATATAGGGAAGAAAATTAAAAAAAAAAAACCCCAAAAAAACAAAAAAAAAAACATAGCAATGAAATACAGAAAACAAATGTGAGCCAAGAATAACAAGACGATGAAACAAATGGGATAAATTTCAAATCCCACATATTGTAACATCTTAACAATAAATCTAGCTAGAGTTATAAATTAAGAACCTTGTATTCTACAATGATGGTATGAGAACAGGAGCTCCCAGAACTTTGACTGCCTCTTAGGGATATTTCACAACAATAGTTTGAACTGGTTCAATACCAATACATGTATATTTTCAGAAAGACATTTAACGATATTTGCATGACGATATCACACAGCTATCATAAATAGATTGAAGTTCATTTTGAAGTAAATTTCAGTAGTATTCAAAAGAAAGTGTTTTGCTATTTTCTACTGAAATTTACCCATAATCCTATACGGACTATTGTACACTGCAATTTTATGATAGGATTGAACAATTACCTTAAGTTAGGTAAATTGAGATCTTGTATGTTTGTATGTTGTCAACCAATGTGGACGATACCAATGACACAGGCAAGTGTTTGTAAACAGGTGATGTAGGTAAAGAAACATGGTACCCTGCATTATTCTCAATACCCACAATAAATATGATTTGACTTCGAAGTAATGATAAATGAATACTCTGTCCTGCTCTCATTGTTGGCATTTTTGTTGGATGTTGATCAGAGAAAGATTTTTAATCATAATTTTTCTTAAATACAAGAAAATTTTACATCTATATGAAATGTATATATATTAATCACAATTTTTCCGGTCAACTTTGATATCAATGAAAGTTCATCAATTACTCGTCATGCCAGAGTTTAAAGTTTAGAGTCAAGTTTACATCTGATCAGCCTGAAACATGACTTGAATAAAAGTCTTGAGCACATCTTTGATTTCCTTGGGTACGTATCCTAAACTGAGTATGAAACACTTTCTTTTGGTACACACCTTTGTGCTTGGTATGCAACTTCCTAATGATGTGTAAGAATGCCTAATTAACAAACAGTCTGCCAAGACATAATGAGTAGACCCGTGTGTGTAACCCTAATATGTCTCAGCAGGTGGTTCATCTAGCTGCCATTAACTATACATACATCAATCATTGGGTGAAGACAACCATAAGCCAAGAGTAGACACCCATCTGTCCCATGGTACAATGTTCTGACAGTTAGAGAACAGATACATCCTTAACTGAGAGTAGACATCCATCTGTCCATTGGTACACTGTTCTGACAGAGAACAGATACATCCTTCACTGAGAGTAGACAGCCATCTGTCCCATGGTACACTGTTCTGACAGTTAGAGAACAGATACATTCTTCACTGAGAGTAGATACACACCTGTCCCATGGTACAATATTCTGACAGTTAGAAAACAGATACATTCTTCACTGAGAGTAGATACACACCTGTCCCATGTTACAACGTTCTGACAGTTAGAGAACAGATACATTCTTCACTGAGAGTAGATACACACCTGTCCCATGGTACAATGTTCGGGCAGTTAGAGAACAGATACATCCTTCACTGAGAGTAGACACCCATCTGTCCCATGGTACAATGATCGGACTGATACAGAACAGACACATCCTTCACTAACAGTAGACACCTATCTGACTCATTGTACAATGTTTGGACTGTTACAGAACAGAAACATCTGTAACTGAGAGTACACATTGACACTGTCCTACAGGTGCTATAATAATGGACAGCCATTTGCCCAATGTCCTCTAGATCCTGTAAAACATCAAAGAGAAATGAAAATTAATTACATGATTGTAAAAAGTGATACACATTATCATTACATATTAACTAGATAATATATATGCCTTTAAAAGTATTTTTTCAAATGACTTGATTGGATAGCCGTCATACCAGATTTAATATATTTGATGATCTTCAACAATGATAATGTTAAGTTAAGTTTGCTGGTTTGGAGGCATAGGTGAACACAACTGGAAGTCTTTTTAAAGTTTTAACTGATTTTGTATTGAAATTTTGATGGTATGTTACATAAATATTAAAATCACACTGTTCTGATGCATCTGTATTAATCACTTGATATGAAGAGCCAACTCAATTCTTTTATACTGGTTGATAATTCTTGAGAAGTTAATGACTTAAATGTATGCATTATGAAAAAAGATCAAAAGAAATCACAACTAAATCTTTCTACTTGCTCATTCTATATTTCCAATACAATACCACTAGACCATTGCTTATATTCTGCATAACATAAAAATTTGCTATACAAATTATGGATTTGATGTATTTACCACATCTAAAACATCTGCCATAACCACCAAAGTAGGCCCCTGGTTCGCCCCGGATATAATCAGTGCCATCATCAGAATCACTGCTGGAGAGATCGCTTGCACTTTCATAGGGATCACTATCACTGCTGCTTGAGACCACTCCTCCATCAATATCATCACTTAGTATTTCAATGGGCGGGGCTTCAGGAAGGGGTGGATCTGGATTTGCCCTGTTCCTGCCTCTGCCTCTACCTCGGCCACGCCCTCTCCCCCTCCCCCTCCCATTCCCTGATGTCCCTTGATTTTCCTGTTCTGCCTTTCTTGAAGCCTCAGCTGTAAAGTAATACAAGTTTGCACTGTAAAGTCATAATTCATTTCATTGTGATGTCCTTTTTTACCCACAAGATTTAATTATAGGAACTATACACTTCCAAAGACTGCTGTCTGAAGACCTATGAATCAAATCTTGGTTCGGCTGTTCTACCTTGATAAGACATTGACAATCCTTGTTCAATCCTGGAATTCAGCTTTTCTGAATAAATTTCTACATCTAAGAAATAGTTATTTTAATCAAAAGTCAAAATAATATAAATTTTAAGTGTCCTTCTATCAGTACAAATTCTTACCTTTGCGAGAAGCCACTAATTGTACACGTTGCTGTTTGAGTTCGTCACTGAGATGTTCCACCATTTTGTCTATATAGCTGTCTAGAACGATAGAACGCACACTGGATGTGATGGCTGTCCGACAGTTGGGGCATTCCTTCTTCACCTTCATCCACTCTTCTATACAGTAAGCACAGAATGCATGGGAACAGTTCAAAGACGTGGCCTGTAGGTAAAAATTGTACAGTGTTCACAATTTCTCATAGCTGATACTCAGCAGTGTAAACATGTACAGAGAGTGCGCATTAATATTAGGTACTTGAGGCACCTCAAATAGAGATATGTTAAATAACTTAATTTTTATCAAACTGCTTCATTCTGTGCTTTATGGTGATATATCAATTATTTTTCCTTCAACCAAGTTTGATCAAGTTTATAGTAACATGGTACAGTAGATAAAACGGACTATTTCAACAATGTGACTCCTCAAAATGGGATACCCGTATTAATGTCAATCAAAGTTGATAAAACAAAATTGGGTCTTTATCAAATAGATGTATTTCTCATGTTACCTGTACAAACAATTCATTACAGATGCTACATTGCAATTCTGTCTCCATGAGGTCAGCGAAGTTTGACAAAATGTCCTCCCTAGCCTGTAACACGGCATCCTTCTGCTGGTCCTTTTCTGCCCTAGTGTCATTCAATTGACTTTCCAGCATCCGTTGCTCTACTTCCTTCTTATTTATAATACTATCAAGTTTTTCTTTTTGTTTGACAAGTTCTTCCTGCAATTGACGATCTTTTTCCTCTATGGTCAACTTCAAATTTTCTTCAATTTTTTGTTTTTCTTTTAGCAGACGATCTTTCTCAGACTGAAGTTGTTCCAGCATCTGTGCTTCTCTATTAAGTAACTGGTTCTCAAGTTCTTCTTTCATTTTCTCTTCCTCCTCCTGAAATGTTTTTTTCCCTTTTAACATATACTGTAACAATCATCTTATCAATATACTATAAGCTGGGCTGACATCCAAAGTTTTCCCAACATTATATCAAATTTTTACAAAAGACAATGGGTATTTCGTCAGAACTAAGCCTCCTAAAGCTGAAGTGTAATTCAATGATGAAAAACAACATTGTTTGTTTTCAAGCATTCATGAAACATGTTTTCCAATATTTTTCTGAAATTAATTAAAATGAAATTTATAAACTAAGAGGCTCACAGGCCTTAACAGTCATCTGACCACAAAACCTTTCAAAAGGGAGAAGGGTTTTTTCCCTACTTTGAATGAAATCTTACTAAGAAGCTGTTTTCTATGATGCAGATGGTAGTTTTGGTGTGCAGCAGGTAACTGTAACAAGAGTTACCTATTTCTTGACAGTAAAGTTTTCAGACAAAATTCAACCCTAAATCTGTAGTCAGTTTCCATTTTGAAGGCACAGCCCTTGTGTCAATAGGGTTAATATAAGAAATGTGTCCTCCCCCTATGATATTTCAGGAGGAGTAACATTTGGGGCCCCAGCCTTCTGTCCACCTCAATTAATTCAGAAATAATTGTGTTCTCTCAATGATGTTTACAACAGTCTGTGGTCTGAACTTTGTCACTTCATTATCTGTTTAATTTTGGTTCTTCAATAACAACACTTGGTCAGGATCATTTCAGACAAGTTGGAGCTAAATTCCACTGGCGAAACTTGAGAATATGTATTGCACTGGAAAAATAGCCTCCCTGGCTGCCATATCTCAGTTTCAACATGGTCAAAAAAGAACATTTGGTTGGCTACCTTTCTTTAACATTCCCACAAATCTTTAGCTCAATGGCACCAGTGGAACTGGAGAAGTTGAATTATGTTTTTCAAGATGGTGGCCATCTTGGATTTCAGACCGAACTGAAAAATTTCAACATTTGGTCAGGACCATCACAGGATCATTTCATGCAAGTTTGAGCTCAATCCCACTGGTGGAACTTTAGACAAAGTTTAAAATGTCAAAATTTTATGCACAGCACATGACGACTGACAAAGCACAATGTCATCATGACCCTTCCTGTCAGATGACCTTAAAAGCCTACATGTAATGATTTGGTCTATACTTTATACTATACTTACTTTTTTCTTTGTTAATGCAACTTGCATTTCTTCTTCTTTCTTTTTTAGCATTACATTTAATTCTTTTTCCTGATGTTCTCGTCTCTTCTTTTCTTCTTCAAGTTCACTCTTTATCTCATTTTGTGCTGCTTCTTTTTCCTGTAAAAGTTTTTGCATTTCTGCCATCTTTGCCTCATATTCTTTTAATTTCAACTGAGCTTCACTCTCCTGTTGTTTAAGTTTTTCTTTGTAGTCCAGAAATGGTGACCAATCTTTGTCCCTGTTCACTCTGTCGTTTTTTCCAGGTGTGCCGTTGGCATCAGCTTCTTCATCAGAACATCCAAGGTCAGGCTGAGAACTTGACACTTGTGAATCACTTTCTGGTCTTTCTGTAACAGTCCTTTTAAGAATTGATCTCACTGGCTTACTTTCAGTGTCTAACTTAATTCTTTTCATTGGATATTTTCCAACACAATTTCCCTCTTGATTTTGCAAATTATCCTGTGAGGAATTCTGACGGACACGTTTCACTCTGAGATTTTTGTGGAATTTGAATATGAACTCTGCCTTTTCCTGTGATGTTTTTGGGATGCCTAGTTGTACAATGTCTCCCTCCTCAAGTGTATGTGGTTGGTTAGCCACTAGTCGTACATCATTAACATAAACCCCGTTCAGACTCTGCCAAGGAAACATTAAAAATTATAGCTATTTCATTGATGGATTGAAGCTTTTAATTTTCAAAATGAAATTGAAAGCTTTTAGCAGATTAGTAGTAAGAAAAATAATAACAAACTTCAAGTTATATCTAAAAGTTAAAACTTTCATAGAATTTAAGCTAGAAACAAACAAACAAATATAACTCTGTTTGTATGTTCCCTCTGACAAGAAAATTATGGTGTTATTTTCTTATTGAAAATAAAGAAATGATTTTTTCTATTCTTTAATTGAATTAGACATACATTGTAGCAGACTTCCTTTCTATATATACCTTATTGTCCTTGATAGACCAGGTCCCAGATTCAGACTTCTTAAGGGTTGCATGGCATCGGGAGATCATGTTGGATAACAGGCATACAGAAACATCTGGAGACCGTCCAATTGTTACCTTGAATTAACAATAGAAGAAAATGTACAAATGTACTATAGTTAGTAATGTAGACTAATAGATTAATCTAGCAAGAAAGAAAGCTCTTATATAGTGCCAGCACAAGTTCTGTAGTTTACCATACATCAGACATTCTCACAACTAGATGACTGTTATAGGATCAAAGCTTTCCAAGAAGTGATGACATGGAGTGGAAGTCACCATCAGTGTTTCTTGTCTAAAAATATACATTCACATGTACATAGAATGACAGGTCAATAGAATATATATCCCACCTATTCCAGTCTCAATGTTGTATATTTCACAGTAATTGAACCTTTCGTAAAGGTCATATGCCTAAAAAGAGACACTTTTTTTTAAATGTTCCTTTGCATGGTCTTTATAGACAGGTGACAACTACAACATCTTGACTACTAAAGCATTAGAAGAATTGCCAAGTTTAAAGCCTTGTTTTGATCATGATGACTTGGGATGCAGTCAGACTTTCTAAAGAAAGGCATCCTTGGTACTCCTGGAACATATTATCATAGCCTCTAGAATATTGAGGATGAAAGCAAGACTGTGTAATGTGTAATGCAACATAGTAGACCAAGCCTTTATATTTGCCAGGAGGATGGTAGTTTTGGAAAAGCAGACACTCAGGAGGGCTATGGAGATTTCAAAGCCAAAATTTTTACTGGCTTTTGATAACATTGATAAGATTGAGAGTATCCAACTATGAGTGTTATACACTCCTGGCACAATGCTGATGACAAACAAAGACGACACTGACAATAAACACACTTGTTTATGTGTAGATGGCAAAAATAAATTCTGTCACAGCTCGATTTTACCAGCCAAGATCATTCCTATTGAGGGGTTTGGGTATTTTAAGGAATTCTATTTGTTAAAGTTCTTTTGGTTCTTGCAAATCAAGATACTACTGTTTCATTTTTATTTTGTACATTTTTGAGGTCTTGTTTCAGGTATCTATGAAGATCTTAATATTACCTAAATTCTCACTCAGGTTCATGTGTTTCTAGATTAAAATCCACAAAATCACGTAGACCAATCATATGAGAAACACATATTTCACATCAATAACCTAAAAGTGCCAACCAACATGCCATATTGAAGTCACATAACAATAATAACTTGGTACAGGGTCATGCTAAAGCCATGCATATAGACTTTGGATATAAAACTCTTAACTACTCTTAACAACCATTTTCATTTTATCCCACGCTTTTTTTAATGTATACTTCAATTACATTTGAAGTTTTCCAGAAAGTGAGGCAAATAAACATGTTTTGTTTTGAAATGAACTGAAGAATTCTGGATACGTTGCGGGAACAATTGTTTAATTCACCGCATCCATGGTACACGCGTTTCTACCACTTTTATGAACAGCTTCTGACTGTCTCTAAAATTTAGTTGTATATCATTTAATTTTGTATTTTAACATTTTATTCGTGTAACGTCTTATGTATCAAAAACACTTCTGAAGAATTAATGTAAACAGATACGTCCCTGATGTAAACAATGAGTGCGTATTAGAATTACCAAAAGTACTTATTACTGCATAAACACAGATACCAGTCAGGTTATCAACGCATACCTCATCCTTATCTGATAACGATATTAGTCTATGTTTCTTGACATTGTCTCCCAACCGATGTAAACAAGTTTGCCCTATAGTATCTGCCATTCTGAAAAGCTCTATCGCGCGTTTCGGAGGAACTTTGTGCCTTGTTTAAAACGTCATCAAAACTGTGAACTTTATTTGGGATATCTTGGCAGTTTTCTTTGAAGAGGGATGTTTAATCGATAAAGTCAGAGGTGTTACAAATTGATGTCAAGCGCCAATTAACCAAACATTTTCAAGACCTATATAGTTTGAGACATGCGCTGTCGCTTTCTTTTTCCTTGCTGCCATTTTAGATTGCACAAGCACGTGTAAGTTGTGGATATTTAATCAAGCTATTTCAGATGATTATGATACCATATGATGTTTTGTGCACGTTGAAGTATTTGTGTATGTTATGCGTTAATATTTAGTGAAGTGACTTTTTTTCTGGACGACATTATCATTGTTTACGAAGGTCGATAAGGTAGGCTCACTGCATTTGTTCAGATTCCGGAGTGGTAACGTTTACAATTTGTGATCACTATTTACGAATGTGAATGGTAACAGTGTGTTGTTGCTGTAAATATTGGCATCTAATTTTTCAACATTGAGTATGTTTATTGTGCTAGGATACATGATCTGAAATAAGGCTGTAGTAAATTGACGGGATTTCCCAAATCAATGAAAATGTTATACACCAGTTGCTGTCAGATGAACCTGCTTCGGCCTGGTGATCCCACAATCTCGCAAAATGTCACCATATCAAACTGTCAAAACTGGGATTACTAAAATACTGACATTAATGTAGACCTAGGAAATATGACAGTTTATCGGAATTGAGATAACAAATGAGACGAAGAGAATCATCACGTATCTGTTAGCGATGGCGAATTTAAATGACAAAGCAAAAATGAAAGTTGACATTTTGAGGAATTTGCTCAGTTCCATATTGACTTTGTCAGACTTTCATCATTGAATGATGTTAAAGTATCTGTTGTTTAAGTTGACATAAAAAGGATGAAAAACTCTTGATACAGGTCTACACCTCAGGTCATGGGTTTGAGGGCTATATGAGGTACTCACTGTGTACTAGGCCAGGCTTGGAAAATTTTTATTTAAAGTGACATTTAAAATCAACTCACCCGAAGCAACTTTCTACTAGCCCAAAAATTATTTTTAGTTTAATGTTCTTATGACAGATTTTGCCTTGAACTGTTTATTTGAAATAATATGTAGTGTATCAGCAACTGCCTCTAATTCTCTCATCCGTTTAGGGGAATAGTAATACATTTTTTTCATGTGTTCAATATTTCAATTCTTTTATTTACTGTAGGTAAAAATGCAGTTGTTTGTTCGTGGAACCAAGACACACACCTTGCAAATTGCAGGTGATGAAACTGTGCAGGATGTCAAGGTAAGACAATAAAGCTAAAAAGTAATGCTATTAATCATAATAGGACAACTGGCACTTTCAGTCATATTTCACCGACAGAACATGTAACAACATCAGATGATCAATAAACTCAAAAGTAAGTTTGAACTATATTCAACAATAATACAAATACCAGTTCATACCAGTTGGTATCCTATCCATGAATTGTGTTTTTACTTGCCAAAAATTCAATATTTTGATGAACAATTTTTGTGACAATTATTCCTATATTCAAACATGTAGAGAAGCTCGGAGAGATTTTTCCAAATAAATATACACTATTGTAGTCAAAAAATTTTCAGATTTTATGAGTATTCTGAAGTAGAATTTGTCAAATTGGTGTTCAATCTTAAATTTCAGACATTTCTTAATGGTACTGAAGGATTTCCCTGTGAGGAGCAAGTCATCCTGTATGCTGGCAAGCCTCTAAGTGACAATGTCAAACTCATCAGCTTTGATGACCTTGCCACCTTGGAATGTGATGTTCGAATGCTGGGAGGTCAGTTAATTGAAAAAAATCAGCTTAGATTACCTCTTTTTTTCTGTATTTTGAGACATTTTTAATGAATAATTATGATTAATATTTAGCTCATCTGCACAAAGAAATTATCATGACCCATATTCAAGGTCACTGGTCAAATTTATAAAATCATTTCAACAACTTCTTATGAAGCCTGATATCTGACAGGTTCATGGGATGATTCCCAACAAAGTTTTTGATCAATATTCATGGCTACAGGGGTCAAATTTGTCAAAAAACTTTGATTGACTTCTTCTGATTGACCAAAATGCTTGGAAGCAGGATATTTGGTGGAAAAGTGTCAATGCCTGATAAATTTCAGAAAATAAAGAAATGACATTTACCTATAAGTTAGGTCATAACTGTCATGTTTTGAGTTGAGTGTTGGAAGTCTTTTTTGGAAATTGATGAAAATTGATTTGCTCTGCCCAGTTTGAATGTCAAGTGTGTACAAGATAAAATATTTGTAATGGACATTGATTAACGGGTTTGCAATGCAGGCCTATTGGGCATCTTTGTTATTTGATTTTTTTTCTGGTCATTAATCGATTTTTATTCATTATTAAACTGAAGGCTGATATAGCAGTAAATCAAACATTATTTTGGCAATAAAACATTTATAGTTCTGACATGAAATGCAGTAACCCAGGCATTGGATAAGATAATCATTACACCCGTTGACCACTTTTAAAATGTGTGTTGAATTAAAAAATGATCAATTTTTCTGTCAAGTCATGGAAACAATATACCTATTTGAAATCTAATCTCATCAGGAACAGTCCATTATGTAATTTTTCTATCTGATTAAGAATTCTCAAGAAATTTTGAGAATCTTTTTATCACCATGTACCTTTTTTGACAGGTAAAGTCCACGGTTCTCTGGCTCGTGCTGGTAAAGTAAAGGGACAGACACCAAAGGTAATACTAGATATTTTTCGATTATTTGTTGCTTTCCAGTAAAGCATCCCAAATCTCTTTCATAATTTCGACTCCTTGAGGTTTTTTTATGTGTAAACATAAGTATGACTGGGAATGTGTATAATCTACGAAAAGCTAATGGTTTGTCCATTCCAAGATTTAAGGCTACATTGACTTCAATTCAATCTAAAGAGCAAGGAAACATTCATATTTGAAAGATACATTTGAATGAATGATATTCCTATAAAATACAAGACTTGAATTGTGACGTACAGCAATTACAAACCATCTGTCATATTGTTCATTATTCTTGTTTTATAGGTAGACAAACAGGAGAAGAAGAAGGCCAAGACTGGCCGTGCTAAGAGAAGGATGCAATACAACAGAAGGTTTGGTGTGACCGTGGCCACATTCGGCCGAAGGAAGGGCCCCAATGCCAACTCCTAATTTATATGTCTTGACATTGAGTGGAGTCTAGTTCTATATGCAGGATGTGACATGTGGCAGCGAACATTTTGTGTGGAAACTGTGTCAACATTTATCCAGCAATCATTTTGATCCTCTTCAGCTTGTATTTCTGTAAATAAAACTAGATTCTAAAATGAATCTCTGATTTATTCTTCTTTTACTCTAATGACACAAGTAAAGGTTTATGAACTCACTTCATATTGTTTATATGATTTAGAGAGTGAGCTTTTGAAATATTTTTGGACCAATTTGAAAAATAAAATTACTGACTGTGACCATTTAGAATTTGGATACATGCAGATTAAATCCATTTCTCTATATGTACTGAAAGGAGAATTTTTCATTTACAAGTGTTTAAGTTTACCTTATTTATTTCATCTGTTATATGTGATGATCAAATATTGATAAGAGGTCAAACATACAAAAGAACCTATAAAGATCCAAACTAAAAAAAAGAACAATTCCTCAAGTCAGGTATGCCAGTACTGTATACTACTGTCTTCTGCTGGTTGCAAAGATAAAGGTCTATGTTAGCATAGAGCAAACTTAATATTACCCATAGAAATGATTTGATATTATTGAAAGTATTACAAAAATACAAGGCTCATAATGCTTAAGGAAATAGTTATCTTTTCCCTCGGAGAAAGAGATGCTTTTCGACCCATTTACCATGTTACTGGGGTTATATAGATGAAATTTGAAGTAATGATCCTTGTAGTAGCGGGAGTAAAGGACTGTTAGTTTGAACTATACCTACCCATTGATATTAATAAAATCTCCACTGATATTTCGTTTTCTTAATAGACCTGTACACATTCACTGCAACTCAACATACTGCCAACTCGAGATACATTTTTTAGCTCACTTGGCTCTGGTTTGTTGTGACCTGGCATGAATCATATGCTTTTCATCTTTTAAAATCAATATTTGTGGTCATTCATTCATTTCACTATTCTGGTTATCTTAAAATGTATTGGATGGATCTGATCAAAATTTCATAGTTAGGTTTCCCTTGGTACCAAACTGTGCATTTTTCCATCAAAAGAAATGAGACATATTGCATTTGTACGAGTTTTTTTTTGTTTGTTTACTTTCTTTTTAATATTTGAACCATAATAAGTTTTGAACCATTTGAGATGTTTCACCAAACTTGGAACATAAGGTCAATGATTTTCATTACAATGATATTCAACCTATCACTTAGGACCAGTATAGAAATATTGTGCTGGATGTTCTTCATTGCATAATTTGGTAAATGTGACCATTTGTGAACTGTGACAAAAAGAATATTCTGCAGCTGATTACTTTAAATCATAACTAAAAATCTTATGACAAACCAGTAGTGAAATGTCTGAAGGTCACAGTGATCAAATGCATTGAAAACTTCAAACCTCAGTGTTTCCATAAGTAATTTACTCTGGGTGTTTATGTAGTAGTACTTTGGAACTAGAGTTTTGCAAGATATGTATTGAAGTTAATTATCTTTTTTTCAGTACTACTGAACTGGTAAACCCAATTTGCACTGTTTTAGATAATCCTTATAAGTCCTAATTACAAATTCATGTGAAGACGTCAGATTTACTGTCAATGCAAAATTGCATTATAAACAAACACAAGTCTGAAGATGATACAATATTTAATTATTTATGCGAGCCAATGATACATGTCAATGTATCTGGTATGCATAATGAATACAGAAATGATAAATATAGGTTTATATCACAAGTATCACAGAATGCTGCAATTATTGGTATTTAACTTTTGTAACTTTATACATGTTTTTACATAAAATCACTGATAGTTGATTAAAACTGATCAGAGTACCAGCTTATAGGGGGGGTTTTCACTATGTCAAGGATCAAGTAACCGGTATTATAATATGAACACTTTTAAATACATGCTGCTGGTGTTTCCAACTCTAAAGAATTCCATCTAATCACAGGCAACGACGCAAATCGCTTTTAACTGTAATCTTCATCAATTTTTAGGTTGAATGACCAGTTATTGTGTAATCTTGTCACCCTGGAATATAAAACATAATTAAATTGTCATTTTAATTTCATATACTTTATTATGCAGAAATTACATCTTCTCCAACTTTGATCTGCGGATAAGGAAAGTACTAGATAACCTAGGTAGACTTGGTTTCATATTCTCATGCATGTCCATTAATTTGTTGTTAAGACACATCTACGATATTATCTTATGTAGAGTCTTACTCATCCGTCTCTTTCTAAAAATAGTTTAGTTAGACTGATCTTTGACCTTCATATCTATGATGTAGAATCTTTAAACTTTGTAGATACACAAGTGTATAGTTTTATCTTTCACAGTTAACATATTGCACATTAAATGTAGTCACTGTGAAATGCCATTATAATTAAAAATCTATACAAAACAAAATACTATATACAGAATACATTAGTATCTTCAAGATTTGTATATGAGTATATTTTGTCTACAAAAAGTAGGCTACTGTGACCTATGTTTTGACCTATGACCTTCATAAGGCAAAATTATGGTGTTTCTGGCATACTGGTGTATCATTTCACATAGAATCTTGAAACATTGCAGGTTTTGGTACCTCTTTGAACCACCGTGTCAAATGCCTGAAATAGGTCACTAGGGCCTTATTTGTGACGTAAGAATTTAAAAGGCCCATGTTGGTTTGTATTGCATATGTTTGTCGATGTATCAGTAATTACCTTAAGGGTCTGCAGAAGGAGGTCCACAGAAGGTCTGTCCCATGATTGCTGGCTACAGTACACAAACTGCACTTTACCCTCCTTGTCTAATATAAAGTCTCCTCCCATCTGAAAATTGTTTTTTGACAGAATCTCCTATTACTTTTCAATTTAAGAGAGTCAATATATTTTACAAAAGACAGTTGTATATTTAAACTACTGTATATACAATGAAAACATCATTTCAGGTTTTATCTCAAACATGTATGAACTTTAAAATATGTTTTTGTTTAAATTAAATTATCAGGTTTTTAAACTTTCTATAAACTCATAGATCCAACTAACAATGCATTTAGATCCCATTGCATTTTATTATTAAAAAAACAAAAACATTTTTATATTGACATTTTATGCCTATGAGCTATGGATTTTAAAATTTTAAATGAAATTATAAATAAATTAAATTGCTATAGTGATGTAGTGTTGATGTTACATCATACCTGTTGAGTGTCATCATGGACATTTTCATATGGCTTTGGTAGAGGTACACCTTGGGTCATTTTCTCTGCATAAAATAACATTGCACTGACACTCCACACCTATTACACATGGTTAGAAAAAATAAAATGGTCAAAGATTTTGCAAAACACATTTAACAAGACAGATACGAAGGAAAAAGTGCAAACTTTGTCATGTTTGTGTTTGGAATGATGATATTTTTTGTATTTGTCAAGAGTATATAAAGAGTGATAAATAAGATCTGTTGATATCATGAACACTAATAAGCTGCACAATTTTATGTCAATGGATGACATTTACAGCCCATCACATTCTATATTTTACAGGTATAAGTCGATCCATCATCATTAACCCATGTTTGATCGTACTGTTGCTGATTGTAGTAAGTGAAGAAATGCAACAAGATGTGTGTAACCACAATGAGCTGATCATGCTAGTGCGCTTATAAATGGCAAAAAGTGAGAGTGGGCATATTTCGGACTCAGCTTATATGTTAACATGGAAATTAACTATTTTGAAGTCTTTAAAAGTAAAATGTACACTTATTTTTTTGAGTTGATGAGTTGAAAGTCTTTACTCTCAAGGCTTGAAATGTATTAAAACATGAATGTAGAGTCAAAATTATTGACCATGAAAATTTCCCTTAAAATTATACTAATTACTTACTGAAAATATAATGTACGTTCTCAGAGCATAGACATCTTGTACATACCTTATAAACAGATCTTTTGAGACCAAAAGCTGAATAAATCTGAAAACATGTTTTTTGGAAAAATGAAAATTTGTGATCTGATGACGATACCATGTATCAATCTACATGCATGTAGAGAAACTAAGAAAACCAAACTTTTGTACAATGTATTGTAGTACGAATTTCAATTTCTTGTTTCTTTTATTTTTCCCCAAAGTAATTCAAGACACCTATTACCGAGTGACAACATTTCAATGATTTGTGTAACATATATTATAAAACCACTGTAGCAAGTGTTGTGTGTTAAAACTGACTGTTCTGTTATGAGATACAGAATGTTTCCATTTTCCCTATGGTTCTGAAAAACACAAACTTTTGGAAAGTTTGCAACAAAATTACATGAGTAATACTTATTGTCAATTTGCTATTAATTATCAGTTCATTTATATCTGTACTACAAAATCCTATTTTAGTACATTACCTTTCGCTCTGTATCTAACAGCATGGGATATTGACAATTTGTCTCCTTCAACCACTGGAGAGCTCCCTCCCGTACTCCAAATGAGATAAGGACAATTTTGCTGTTTTGTGCAAAAATGTCCTTCTAAAACAAATATAGTATAAAAACACATTTTACGGCAAAACTAACTGTGGTTAGGCATAGAGAAGAAAGTCATCTTTTTATGTTGTTGAACAAACAAAAAAATATAAACACAATGCATTTCATTGGTGGAGCAATCACATCTAAACCATATTGAATTCAAGAGAAAAATGTATGAACCATTTCACATTTTAACTTATTATTTATTTCTTCAATCCTTCTTAAGAATATTGGACAAAAATATTGGTGAATCACAATTGTACTTACACTATTTTAATGTGAAGAATAAAAATGATATTAGCTGTTTCCATGACTAACCTCAGCTTTTTCCAGAAGGGTGATATGCTCTCGTCATGGGAGTCAGGCAAAATGTCGCAGCAGTATAAGGATAAGATGGTTAGATGTGAGATGCTGTGATAATGTAGTTGTGGTACCTGTCCTTGCATCCTCTAAGATAACATCAGTCGGCCCGTCTTGTCCAACACACAGTGCGCTGACTCCTCCCTGCTGTAGCTGTTGGTCAAGGTCTTGGAGAAGCTCATCCCACTCTGACTGCAGAAGAGAATAGCACAAGCTTCCCTCAATAAATAATCCAGGTGTTACCCTCCACATTCTAAAAATTCCATTGGAGAAGTTGCACATGTTGGGAATCTGCAGCCCCCAGGTACATTTAAAAATCTTTTTACTACTTTTGAGATAATGTAAAAGAAGTATTTATATTATATTATTTATTTTATATTATTTTAAGTTTTGATAAGCCAATATTGTAAATATTGTTCAGAATTATTTATCTAGAATCCATCCAAAAAAGTAAAATTAGTTAACTTGTCAAACTTTATATTGTTTGTGGAAATTGGTTATAGGGGTCATTACTGTTACCTCTGTGTCATTGATGCTTTGTTCCAAGTCCTGGATGTCATGGTGCCTGTGAATTGAAAAAGTTTGAAAAATTCATTGCTTTCCTCAAATATCCCTTCATCAAATTCTAGTACAAAGTACACTTATATAAACAAGAGGCCCACATGGTCTATATATCTTGCATATTAAATACTTCATTAAACATGATGACATCACAAGAGAAATGACCTTACATATGTTTAAATAGCATTAGATTGGTATTTGTCTTGAGGATTTAAGAAGTAATACATGTACAGAGTTCCAGTGGTTAGAATGATGACATTTTGGCAATTGAACCTTGACCAACTTTCTTAAGTGATCAACAAAATATTTACCTGAAGTGTCTCTTTACAACTTGATCAAAATCTTTCTTGTTTTTAACTTTCAATCTGAATAAAGCAAAAGAATATTTTTTTAATTTAAATTTCATAAACAGTCACAAGATCATTGGTGTTTGATTTAGAGGTAATGATTATTGGAAGTTTATCAAAAAAAAATGAAACATGCAGGTATCCATGTGGTAGTTAGGCATTTTATGTCAAATACCCAGTATTGTTTTAACTTTCTGCTGATAGGATACCATATACAAGAGGAAGTTTGTGATGAAAAAGAACTCAATAAAATTTCATTTCTCTCTTTCTAATGTTTTTTACCACTGACAAATATCTTGGATACCTCGAAAAATAATTTCATTTTGAAAAATTTGATAGTGTACTAGTTATTATTTTTATTATTTCACAAACATCTTAAAATATTAATTCATGTTCTACAGTAGATAAATCTCTGTATCAGCTTATTTATATTGAAGGTTTAAAATAACAAAGTAACAGCTAACATACCTTTCAAAAGCCTTTCTGTAAGCTGAAGCAAGTCCAAATAACTTGCTGATTTTTCCATTTACAAAATCATGGGCACCATTGGTTTCTAAAGTAAGAAATGTCTGTGTACATTAGGCCAAGAAAAATACAGATGCATTGTGTACACATACTTTCAATCAAGTCATAGGTAAACCATTCTCAGACAATTATGTATATATTTTTGACACTGTTGGTTTCTATATGGGACATTATGTATAAATTTTTGACACCATTGGTTTCTTTCTGGGACATTATGTATATATTTTTGATACCGTTGGTTTCTTTCTGGGACATTATGTATATATTTTTGACACCATTGGTTTCTTTCTGGGACATTATGTATATATTTTTGACACCATTGGTTTCTTTCTTGGACATTAAGTGTATATTATCAACACCATTGGTTTCTTTCTGGGACATCATGTATATATTTTTGACACCGTTGGTTTCTATGGGACATTATGAAGATATTTTTGACACTGTCGGTTTCTTTGTGGGGCATTATGTATTTTGCAATAGGGCTATGGACACTTGAACTAAGTTATAAATGGATTTTATGAAACTTGATGTTTTGTGCAGCAACATATTGTGATATATCCTGTTTTTTAAATGAAAAATAGAAAAAACATTAATGATACTGTTTTACCTTTAATAATCTTGGAGTGTACTTACAAAAACTGGAACACTTAAAAATTTGTTTACAAAGAAAACAAAATCTGTTTTTTTTTCTTGTAAATTGTCAATTTAACATCACTTCTCATCTTCATGACAAGGCATATGATAAAAAAGTGTATTATAACATTATATTAATAGATCAGTGAAGTGGACAGCTTTTTATACACTTCAATCAAGAGCATCTTTCCTCTTACCACAAATATGAGTAACTCTGCTTAAAGCTGGGTGCTGTATAATTTAAATGGTTTAAGTGCTGCTGTCAATATCAATCCAGGCTATTTTATTCATCCCAAAACACAACCACAATACAGGTTCTTCAGCTCTAACAAAGTCTGATGCTTTCATACAGATTACATGTAACGGTGGTCAACAGCAATAACTCTAAATAAGGAGGGAGAGCTGGAAATATACCCATATTAAGTCTGAAACAAGTGATTTTGAACTCAACTATCATACCTTTAATAGCATTACGAGAAAACTTCAAGATATCTTCCTCTACATCTAGAATATTTTCCAGGCTATGTTGCAGGTCAGACAATAGTTCATCCTCATCACTTGTCATTCCAAGTATTTATCCTGAAAAGCCATAAATATGCCATACTAAATTATTAGTTATGGTTATGGTAAGCATATTTTACATTTCACACCTTTGTTTTCAAAAGAAAGTCAATGTTTCATTTTTTTAAATTGTTGGATTTCTTCCATGCCAGTCATGAATTATATATCTACCAATTTTAATTTTTTAAAAAAATATGTTTGATAATTTGTCCCATTAATTCTTCATAGTGGGCTAAAATCATTCATTTGAACACACTTTGTAGACCTTCATCCCAACAGGCAGCAGGCCCAATATCAGCATTTGAGATTCCTGCATTTTGAGGAGAAGTTGTTTAGATTCTAATATATTTGACTCAGTGACCTTGCATTTGGCATTCACTTGAACAAACTGGATAGCCTTTCATACCAACATCATATAGGACAAATATCAGTACCATTGGTTATTGCAAGGATGTCATTAAAGATAGTCAACAAGTAAATCTATCTCACTTTACCTTAGCTTTTTTGGAATGAAAATGCTTTGTTAAACTCTAGTTTGCTTTCATACAAAGAAATATCTAAGGTAATTGAGCTTCGCATCAGTTTAACTTAAATCATCAATATTGAGTCAAGTATAACTGATCGTCTGGTCATAACTAACCATTGTTACTAATGTAATGAATTACGATATATTTGTGATCTCTTGTCAACATTGTCAGACAAATGGCATTTGGGCATATACAATAACACTGTGATGAACTAATATAAACAATCCAAATTTATTGCACATTACTGTAGATTGTTTCTTTTTCTTTGTGTTTCCTGTTACCATCAAAGAACAGTTGATTATTACAAAGGAAATTGGATTTAGTGCACGAATATGGAGAGGTTATTAATAGTTTACCATAAACGAAGGATGAAACACCCCCTGGTTGCATACTGAACAGAAGTTCAGATGATAACATTCCTATGTAGGCATCAGATGTTCAAGACATTTCAAATAAAAAACAAAAATTCCTTATTTTTATTCCGAATGAAACACAACTCGTACGGAAAGCTTAAGAAAATCACAATTTACCTTGTATCCACTTAGGAAATTAATCTCCTTCTCCGCGTGACCAAAGTGAAAGTAAATCCTGGTCGATGATACCCTTCCATTAACACAATATTTAAGCGTTAGAATAGCACCGATGTAAGAGGCCATTCGGACTCTCTTGAGACTTTGTATATGATGCACAAGAAAACATCAGAGAACGAAAGTGAAGTATAAGTTCAGACAATCCTACTTTTTACTTGTGCAGCAGAGCGTTCATGTGGAACATATACACTATCAAAACAACACCGGCCACTTTGACATTTCCTCGGATTTTATCAACTTATTTTTGTGGTGCCGGTAAGTCATCGTTTAAGCTCAGTCAGGGACTTGACTGAGATTACACCCATGTTTTGCTACACCTAGCATGTAAGTGAAACTCCTATGATTTATTTACAAGCTAAAGATACCTGTTTATTTCAGCCCTAGTAATTTAGCTATCGCTTTCTTGCACCGATGCACGAATGTGTGAAGTAACTTCAGTAAAGGTCAGTTTACTTGCAACTGTGAAACGTCTCAGTTTGACACTCCTACCACAGATGTCATTGTATTAACATTATGATACATACAAGACCAGTGCTTATACAGCAGTGTTTTATGTAAAGTCCAGTACAGTTGAACAGTGTGGATACATTGGAGGTAAGATAGCATTTATCTGCCATTTGTACCAAAGTGCATTAGTAAAGGTCGGGGCCAGTCGTGTGGATCTGAGGTTGTGTATAATTCAGTTAGTTATTGTCAGTAAGCAATTTTCCTTGATTTTGTGCAGTAATTCAGTTTGCAAAAAGGTTGTTCTTTCATACCAGTTTGAAACTAAAAATATTCCAATCAAAGCTTAAATGTATATATATTCTCTTGTGAAAGATTTTCAAAATTAAAAAATTATTACTGGACAGACCTGCCTTTTTTTTTCTTGCATGTTAGTGGAAACACAATACATCTGTGTTATTTTTTCAGCCTTACCTTTACAACAATATTTCTGAGGTAATAGATGCATTGGAGCTCCAGAACATCATCTCAAATTCATGTCAGTTACAAAAGTGGTAACATAGCCCAAGTTTCCTTTGATCCTAAATTATAAATAAGAACTTGGATAGTTGGTAGTAGTGCACTAGGTTAAGACTATTAGGAAATTAGTAGTGCACAAGTTTTCAAACAGCTAATAGGAACACTGCCCCTCGTGGCATTCTGCAGTTTTATCTGCAGAAGGATAGCTCAATTTAATTAATGATGCCTCTGCCTTGGGACCTACTTTTCTCAGCAAAACCATTTTTTTATTTTCTCCAAAAATATCTGTTTTAGACTGATTTACTTTTCACCATGTTTTAGTCAGTGGTACTACTCCTTGGATTAAATGGCAGCCCTGAGAAAATGTTTTGTGTTTCTGACAAAGACTTCGCAGACAGGGAAGCATTTCATGTGTCTAAGTGGGAAAAGACTGTCTGTACAACCAAGTGCAGCACATACAACATGGTCTAGAAAACGGATGGTTACAGTCACTACTAGCAGGAAACTCTCTTTGTTTGAAGTTCCAGCTGGATCATCAGGCTTGCCTAAGACATTTACCCATGATTCTCGCAGGAAAGGAGGCGATGATACTACACCTGAAAAATTATCTGATAGTTCTCTGGTAATGATATGTTTCATTCACAAATTTTCTGTAAGAAATGTATGAATGCAGTGTTGAATGAAAGTCTTATACATGGATGTGATTGATAAAAATTGATTAGGAAAACAAATACAATTGCAGTTGATCATTTCTTTGTTGATTTATAAAACCTGGGGAAGCTAGAAGTGAAAATATCAATTCACTTTGTTTAGATTTTTATAACAAATTGCTCTTAAAAGAAAATATTAATGAAAGTGTTTTCAGGCAAACAAGGATTTTGATAAAAGCCTTTTTCTTTCCATACATTGCTCAATATTAAAATTGTTTAGAACTAATTTGAGATGCCTGGACTAATATTCTTTGTGGAATTTAAAACAGTCATACTATGACAATACTCTTTATTTATCATTTGATTCTTCATTTTATTTCAGAACTGTCGTCTAGCTGCTGAAAATGGTATGTTATTGTTTGTAGAAATATTTAAACATTTAAAAACTAGGTTAGTGTTTAAAGGTAAAATATTATAAGATTAGGTGGATAATTTCTCCAAGTATATAATTAATTTCTTGTTTGAGAGATTGCTAGAGAATCAAATGTATTTGGAGTGTTGATCAGTATAAAATCTGGTGGGTTAAATAAGATTTGATAAAGTATAAATACCTTGTAAATACATTGCCTCATTTAATCTATTAGTGGTTTGTGATGAAGGGATGGGGAGGAGGCACTGAAAATCAGACAAAGACATGATCTCTATGATTTGGTTTTAAATCTATGATTTGTTTCAAAGGATTTCTCTCTTGGGCAAGGAATGCCTACATCTCTTGCGTGGCTGGCTGTGCTCTCCTATCACATGCCCAGACAGAACCAATGGTGGATGCAGTGTTTGGTAAGTAGCGTAAGGTTAGATACATTGTAAATTGTACATTTGGAAGGATTTACATGAGGAGGTAAAAACTCAAAGAAAAACTTGGAAAACGTTCCTCTGAATATAGTAGTCAATGGAAAGCATGAAAGTATACTTGTATATAGATATAAATGATGTAATTGTCGATTAGGATGTCAAAGTTTCACGTTTCAAATTTTTTTTTTTTTTCAATTTTCAGGTATATTTTTCATATCCTGCATGAACATGGCATGTGGAACTGTTGTTTATATCAGCAACTTACTGTCGATGCAGAGGCGGGTACAGATGAGCTCTCGTCATGTTTTATTGTCCATCACCCTAACACTGATTCATGCCGTGATATATGCAAGTGCAATGTTTATTTTCCTTGAGGACTTTGACTCCAAAAAGATTAAGGGACTTGAAGATGATGAAGAACATGACATCAATCAACTTTGATGGCATGATTAGTTAATACTCTCCACATGACGTACTATATAAATGAATTTTAGACTGTGGGCTATTCAAATCATTTGTGTCCATGTCAAGTCCATTAGTTCTTAAACAATTTTCGTTATGCTCTTTCTTGAGAAATACACGATGGATGGTTTCCCAATTTCATATGTATATTCCTTCTGGTCCTTAGCAATGCATCATCTCTTTTTCAGACTGATTAGAAAAACAATGTGATCGACAGGTGGCCATTTTGGATTTTGACGTTGATAGTTTGTCATCACTATTTCTGGAGAAAGTCTAAAAGGATATCTTTCAAATTTATTATGTAGTGACCCATGGCCCCTACTTGTGCATTATCCTATTTTTGGGCTGTTCCAAAAAACTATATGGCCGACAGATGGCCATCTTTTTTTAACATAAAAGTTTGTTATTACTATTTCTGGAGAAGTACTGGATGTATCTTTTTCAACTTGCATATGTAGGGACCCCTTGGTCACAAAAAAACAAAACAAAACAGCCAGCAGGCAACCATCTTGGATTTTGACAATTAAAATTTGTTATCATTATTTCTTGGGAAGTACTGGGTGGATCTGTGACAAATTTTATATGTAGATTCTTCTCTGTCCTTGTTGTGACAATTCTATTTTTAAACTGATCAGAAAAACAAAATTGCTAACAGGGGACCATCTTGGATTTTGACATTGAATGTTTGTTATATCGCTATTTCTTGATAAGTACGGGATGGTTCTTCTTAATTTTTTTATGTAGTTTTCCCTGGGTCCTTAGTGCTCTTTTGATTTTAGGACTGTTAGAAAAAACAAAATATTGACAGGCGACAATCACTTTTTTAACATTTGAAGATTATTATTTCTTGAGAGGAACTTTCAAATTTCATATAATAAAAAGGATACGAGAAAAGAAGAGAAAAAAAGGGAAAAGATATGACTTGTAAAGAACCAATGAAGATCAAACAGTAATGGGTGCCGAGATCCTAGTGGGATCTCTGTCTAAGGTACCAGTAATAATGGAGAACAAGAGCTTATTTAACTTTGAATTACTGCTGATATATGTAATGTCTTTGATGATTTTTCAGACTGATTCATCTAGATGAAATGGTGCTTTTTCGAAAAGATATTTATAAACCTCATTTAGCTGATGATATTTTTTTTCCTTTTCTCCAATTTCATCCCCCATTTTTTCCAGTTTTAGTGTGATAAATTCTAAAACTTTGTTTCTAACTTTGGTTATTAATACTGAAAATTGTCTTAGTCATGAATATAAAATTCAAAATGAATGTTACCATTTTCACTTTAAAAGACTGCAAGTGTCTGTCACAATATTACAGTGCTAAGCCATTTGTAATTTCCAATGCAATGAAAAAGTGAAAACTGACAATTCATCCTAGAAAAATGCTACATTTCCATGTTTTTTCCTGGCAAATCAAAAGAAAAAAGGAGATTTAAAAAGTTGCCTTTAGTAAATCATTGTTGACGTTGTGTTTTATTCTATAACCTTGTTAATGCTTGTAATAATCTTTTTATCTAATTAATTATATAGAGCTGTTTGTAATCAGAAAATGTTTTGATTTGAAGGCAATTACCGGTAATTTTCAGATAAAACAAAATAGTCCTCATTGTTAATATTATGTTTGTGTTTGTGTTCAAATTATACTATGTATGTTTTTAATTTGTAAAAATTGTAATTCTTTTATTTTGAATATATATATAATGAGTATCAAGCATGAATTTTCATTTCATTGGATATTTATAAAACAAGCAAATTTTCGCCCAGTTTATCATTCTTCTTGCAAGCTGAAAATGAGGAATTTACGATCAGTTTCCAATACCTCTATCGAAAAAGAAACCAATATTGTATATTTTTCATCAAGTAACAAATATTTATATCACATATTTGTAAAAGTACCTTTTGTTAAGATGACATGACATATAAATTGTTGGCGTTTTGACTCCAACTCCTGTCTTTATGTTTTGGTGTTGAAATGCTGTTGGAATTCATTTATGACATTAATGCTGAGATATTATGACATCATATCTTATCTTAATTATATGATATGACTCTAATAACAGGGTAAATATTATATTTGTGCATATATGATCAAGATTTAAAACTATTATTTTATGCTAAATTGTAATGTACAGGACCACTTCAAATAGAAAATTATATCTGTCATACTTGGCTAGACTTTGCCTAGTTGAGTCAACTACTGCTTTCTTTTACTGGTTCTTTTGGATCAAACTTTGATGTTGTAGAGTTAAGCTGTGAAATAGATTAGAATTATTTCAGACTTGTTCTAGACATAAAACAATGACAGAGGTTGTTATTAGCTGTGTAAACTGAGAGTCATGATCGGACAGAATTGACGTTTAACTGTAGACCTGTGATAAATGAAGTCTGTGTTGATATGAATATGATTAAATGTTGCATCGTTGGTCCTTGAGATTGATCATTAAACAATATAGAAATTTCTATCATTACAACATGACAAAATCTTATTGTTGTATGGAAATCTCTATAAATATATCTGCATGGTTCACCTGCTGCAGTTTTTTGTTGAGGAAATTATAACTCAAGTCCTACTTTAGTGTGTGCAATTTTACTTGCAGTTAGAGTATATCAAACGGCTACTAAAACACTTGATACCAATGGGAAACAATGTTGTAAGGACAGTTGTCTTTTGGGCACAGGTAGGTCACTGTTCTCAGCATCAGCTAAACTGTCAGGTGATATGCTACTGCTACTAAAACAGACTGGAGCAAGCTTAATACTTACCAAAATACATGTAGGTGGTTTCGAGATAAATATACAATATACCTGTTAACTAAATTTCTATAACATATCCTTAAACTGTTGCTTCATATAACATTTGATGAATGGCTATAACCCTGAATACTTAGTATGTTAGTAATGTACATACTTACCTTTGTTATTATTATTATTGATGTTTTTTCTGTTATGTATTTTATTATGAAAGTATACAATATCAGTTTGATTCATTGTAGCATAATTGCCACTGCAAATGGGTTCTGGTACAGAATATTTCAAAGAGATGTAATTATTATCAACCAATGAGCAAGGGGTCATGATAGCTCAGAGGGTTAGCATATTGGCCTATGTCACTTCAGGGGAAGATCCTAGGTGTGTGGTTTGAAACTTCCTACTTATGACAGTTTTGTGTTCCTCAAAAAGTTGAGAGATGGAGCAGTCCGTACTGAAGTAGTTATGTCCTTGAGCAAGACATTTTACCTTAGTTGCTGTAGATTCCATGTGTTCATTTAGGTAGTCACCAGCTAGTACAAGGAGGCCCTGCCTCAAGATATCCTGGCTGTTCACCTCATGATAAAGCCAGCAAAGAAAGAAAGAAACGTAATTAAATAACAGAACACAACAAACTTTTTAAGAAAAAATATTTGTGTGATCATGTAGGGTTAAAATTGTACAGTTGGCATCATTTTTGTACCTTTGTACTGATATCCTATTGATGTCATGCAATAAGCCATAATGGGTAGGGTTATTGCTAGGCAGAGTTGATTGCTAGTATGCGATTATACATGTATGATCATTGTTTTTTTTTTCAATTTTTTTTACATGCAATGTATAATTTACACTTCTGAAAATATTTTGATCTCCCTACCATTGTCGTTTAGTGAATACACTGATACAAAGAATGTTTCATCGGTGAATTTAAGGATATGAATATTAACACTTTTGCAATATTTTTGTTTTGAGTATTTACAGGTATTAATACAAGTAGTAAAAGTCTCTACAATTTTCATCTCTGATTGTACACCAGTTTTTTTTTACATACAGAAAATCTAGAGAAACTATCATGGATCTTTTTTAAAAAAAAATATGTCAATATTTACAACATATTTGCAATTTGTACACACTGTCACTTTTTATGATAAGAAATTTTGAGATATTTTATTTCCATGTACAATGTATGAAATGTTATTGATGTGACCAGTAAATCACCACCATTGCTTACTGACTTCTATATCAGTGTAAGCTTACCTGGCAGTAAACACTCTCATTGATACAGCCAACATACCTTTCACATAGCTCAGTTCCATACAACAAAACGTCTATCTCAGAACACATGGCTTGTCAATAAGGATTTACCTAGTGAAAATTACTTTTATTCTAGTAATGTTGTCAAACTAGCTGATGTACTCCTGCATCAAAGATTTTTTTCATTGGAAAATAAACTTAGAAGCAGTCAGGAAAAATCGAGTGTATTGTATGTAATCCATATGTACCTCATTTTTTTCATGACCTTTGCATGTGCTTATTTTTCATTACAAAATGAAGTGTTGCGCTAGAATATTTGTTAGGTCAGTTTGTTAAAGAAATGATTAGAGTATAGGTTATTTTCATTGAGGTAGCCCCTTGTGGGTAGGTCTTGGTTAAGGGACCAGATTGAGCATTGAAACGATAAGAGTGATATTACTTTTCTGTACTTATCATTTCTGAGAGAATGTAAAACGAACAGTCATTTTTTGCTTTTATGAATAATGTTCAATGAAATAAGCTTCTATTCTTGCATAATATTGGCATATATATACATGTTCCAGTTTTACTGATCTAGGAATATATCTCTATTGAAAAAAAGTATTTAGAAATAACACATATCACTGCTTGTACTATCCTTTCTTAGAGAATAATTTAAAATATATGTGCTCTGTTTTTCTATCATGAATTACATTAAGTATAATAATTTTCTATTCTGATATATAGGATTGCACTGTCGCTACCGAAGCAGTTAACATTCTAGTATTGTAGATAACTTCTTGTAATACACACACTATGTGTGCCATATTGAAATGAAGTTTGAACTTTGATAATTTGCTCAGCAAAAATTTTATAATCTTGCCCATTGTTAAGACATAGAGTTATTATACACATGCCCATGCAGTCTTAGTCTGAATTATTGTGACATTCTGTGGATTTTTTATATCAGGTCTGGAGTCATGGACTAATGCAACTGACACAATTACATAAATTGCTTCACTAGAAATCTTTAATTTTTGTTATTGTGTGGATGTTTTTATACGCATACCAAAGTAGTCTACGCAAATTACATCATATTTTGTTCTTCTGAGCTCTCGATGATTTCAATTACATTTAGGTATTTTTACATTTAAATAAGAAAATGTTTGGAATAGTAATACAGTGACAATCAGGTTAAACTTTTCATTTCTTTGTGAAAAGCAACTGATATCTC